TAGTGGTAGTTTATCAGTGGTGACTGTCAGTTAATGTACATATGGCAGAAATGTACGGAACAATCAATTAAAGACATAATCAAACAGACGATGAACATGATTAACAGCAATTATTATAGCAAAATGTGGTAGTTCTGTAAGTTGTTTCAGGGTTGGCATCATCTGAGGTCCTCTGAGGGGTTGGCATCATCTCTTCTCAGGTGTTCTGGATCCAGACTGAAGCTTGTGTAAATCCTAGGACATCCCGTGGCAAAAACAGAGAAACAAATAGAGACATAATTAGCGTAGCTGCTGTTCCAACCAAGCAAAATTGATTTGTTTAACCCAAACTAAAGAATACTAATGTGCATTTGATCAGATATAACTGCAGAACAAGATTATGAGATGCATTATTTGAATGCTTGTCCAAAGAGGTGTGTCTTTAATCTAGATTTGAGTGTGCCTGAACCCCGAATGTTATCAGGAAGGCTATTCCAGAGCTTGGGAGCTAAATGTGAAAAAGCTCTACCTCCTTTAGTGGACTTTACTATCCTAGGTACTACCAAAAGTCCAGAGTTTTGCGACCTTAGGGAGCGTGATGGATTGTAGCGTGGTAGAAGACTAGTTAGGTACGCAGGAGCTATCCCATTAAGGGCCTTATAGGCAAGTAATAATATTTTGTAACTGATACAGAACTTAATAGGTAGCCAGTGCAGAGACTGTAAAATTGGGGTAATATGATCATATTTTCTTGACCTGGTAAGGACGCTAGCTGGTGCATTTTGGGCTACCTGTAGCTTGGTTATTGAAGATGCAGGACAACCAGCTAGCAGTGCATTACAATAGTCCAGTCTAGAGGTCATGAATGCATGAACTAGCTTTTCTGCATCAGAAACAGGTAACATGTTTCGTAACTTGGCAATGTTTCTAAGATGGAAGAATGCTGTTTTTGTAACATGGGAAATATGATTTTCAAAAGACAAGTTGCTATCTAATATAACACCCAGATTTTTGACTGTAGAGGAAGTAACCGTACACCCGTCTAGTTGCAAATTGTAATCCAAGAGATTCTGTGTACTGTCTTTTGGTCCAATAAGTAATATATCTGTCTTATCCGAATTTAATAGGAGAAAATTATTGGTCATCCAATCTTTTACATTTTTAACACACTCTGTTAGCTTAGATAATTTAGAAGTTTCATCTGGTCTTGTTGAGATATATGATTCTGCTTAACGCTTCCTGCGTTCGCATTTTAATTTGATTAAAAACGATTTAAGTGCAGGAACGGAAATAACTTGTGCCCTGTTTGCGTGCAGCGAGCACAGAGAACAGTGGTCGCGGTACGGGTTCCCGGTTTGTGTCCGTTCTCGAACAGTTCCGTGTATTTCCACTGTAGAAAAGGTTGTTCCGGGCCAAAACTGACTTTTCATATTTGTCAACCAATATGCAGAAAACAACGTTAGTATATCATCATAAACACAGCCCTTTTTTGTCTTACGTGACCGTAAACAGATGAGAAAGAAAACACACATGTACAGTATTTTTAGATCTGCGTGCATTCGGTGTTAAAGAGACAGCAGCCTAATAAACGCACTGGCTGTCATTAATGTTAATCAAAGAACTAAAGAAAATCATTCACTGATCTTGACTGAATATATTTAATAGCTTTAATTGATTAATCTATATTTTATTTATGAAAAGAAAACTATGCAGTATTTTTAAACTTTTAATTACAGTTTCTGTACCTGAAATTTTGTTCAGTTGTATTTATTTATGATATTGCTAATTGATTTGTTTGTTCCTATCTTATTACTGACTGTTTACTTGTCTTTAACACTAGGGATGCACGATGTTTGACTTAATTTTTTTATATTAGATTTTTTATCTTATTGGAATCAAAACTAGGAATCGATAAGAATCGGAATCGATACTCGGAATCAATAAAATTCAAACGATACCCAACCTTAATTGTGATATAGCCTGGTTCGTTGGTCCGTTGGATCAAATTGCTTTCTCACTACAACCGAACCGCTCCAGAGTTCCTTTTCAATCGAGCCGAGACCACCTCGTTCAGGCGATCTCGGACCGATTGTTTTGGCGTGGATCCGGGCGCGATTGCCGTGTTCACATATGCCCAAACGAACTGAGCTAAGGGGGGAAACGTGCCAGGTTCCAAAACAACGAGCCAGGTGTGAAAGCACCCTTAGGGTTTTTGTTTCCCTTTCGTACTTTTGGTGCGCACCCGGTGTAGCGAATCAGCTCATGGGGAAATATGAATAATTAATCATAACTAGTTATAATTAATTATAAATATTTAGATCCGCGTAGATATTTAGCTGACCTCTCAGGGTCAACTGTCTGTCAATTCTAAGAACGTTAATTTCCTGGTTAAGGGAAATAACTTTCTTACTGTACAATTCTACAAAGAGCTTGTAGCATAAATCTGCATGATTAAGTGACTCTAGTTATGAGCAAACAATGAACAACGTCAAGTGTGATACAAATAAACTTTATTAACTACATAAACACTTAAACTGGTCTGACATACACATACACACGCGTACAGTTTGTATAGGAAAGGGTTAAAGCGCAGGGGGGCCTGGTGTCGTTGCAGACATCCTGGCACCCAGTTTATTGGGTGAGGGGACTGTGACGATTTGTTAATCTAATGAATAACTGATTTGTTAAATCAAATGAAAAATTGTGTTTTTGATTGGTCCGGACGCTACACCGGGTTCGATTGACGTCAGAGTTCGGTTCGTTTGGATGATGTGAACTCGCACCCGCGAACCGTACCCGAGTCCTCTTAAATAGGGTGGTCTGAGGTACGGTTTATGTGAACTCCGGTACGGTTCGCTGCTGATGTAAACGCAATCCTACCAAATCGCGGAAGTGAGCCACTATTAATGACGTATTATTTTATAAAAATGTGTGTTTGTGTGTGTGTTTCACTCACTTTCCTGACGAGCGTGACTGACGCGCTGCAAACAGAGAGCTGTACATCTCATTTATGTTTGCCTTCAGTATTCTTTAGAGCATTTGCAGTACATTCGTAAGACAGACGTAAGTGCCGTTATGTACCGAAGCTTTGTAAACAAAATGAACGGTTCAAAAACGTAAATATATAAAAGTGCAGAGAGCAATGTTGTGCATTTGCCGCCTTCTCCTGCGCCGTCGTTACTAAGCAACGGGGTAAACAGCTGCTGACTTGATGACTCAAACGAACCGCGATTCGGACCCAAATAAAATAATATGAACGCAGTCCAGCAGGGGGAGGGGGAGAAATCGAACTCTGGTTCGGACCAGGCAAGTGAACCAAGTGTGAAAGCACCCTTGCATGCTTGGAACAGAACCATGCATCGCTCATTTATATCTCTCTACATGGCTCCCTGCAATACAACTAGTGGTCTGTTATTGATACTACCACAACTTCTACAACTTATAACGGAGCACTCAAGCGGGTACTGCGAGTCATGTTGAGGTAATTAAAATGTCAAATTAATATTTTACATTCAATTATTTACTTATCAGGCAAGTGGCCGCATGATAAGCTGGAAATTACGCAGTGTAGTCTTTATCACCCTGCAGAGGTTTCTTTTGCAAAATAATCTGCTGACTGTACATATCCCTCAGTTTGGGAACCACTGGAGTACGTTAGGCGATTTGTGCTCTATTAATGTGGCCTGTTACGATGCTCTGTGTTTGATTACTAATGCCCGTGTAGTACGGCGTTGCACCTTTACAGTCTATGCGTTGCACAAAGAAGACAAAAACGTTCATCCTTGACTCTTTATCGTCATTTGTGTTAAAATTTGCAAAGCGTACCAAATTGAACAAAACTATAAAAATGCAAAATTTGAATTCATGAATATATAACGGTATCCACGATATAGCATAATACCGGTACTCACTTTCATACCGATATTGCGTCCACCCCTACTGTAGGATTTTACATTATTGCCATAGTTTAAATATTTTCTCATTGTTGAGAATATTTTAAAAGATCACACAGGTGTGATTTGCTGGTTCCTTTTATGCATTCATTTAACTGAATTTATTAAAAAAGATCAGTGATGCTAAATGCACTCATTTGCGTACTAAGCAGTGATTTTATTGGTTATGCTGTATCTTATGAGGTTAAATATGATGAACAAAACCATGCCTACATTTTTATAGAAGCCTTATCCCACATTCATCTGGAAAGATTCTTCTCTTTGAGCAAAAGTCTCTGCTTTACATCAATGAAATTTTTCAACCTCTTATCAACTCTTATTAATTCTATATTTTTGTGTTATTAATGTTTGTGTGAACTATTCTAATTGGCTAACAAATTTGAATATATTTTAACATGCTGCTTACTTCATAAATGCCTCTCTCTGTGTAATTCTCTCTTTGTCTAAGCCGTCTGCTGAAGTTAAATGCTTTGAAACATCACTGGATTTGAAGCGTTAATAAGTCACATTAAACACTGTAATAGAGTGAGCATTGACATTTAAATATTTTAACAAATCCCACTTCCTGTTGCCGTCCTCACAAGGCTGAGGTTTGGCTATATTATGTTACCGCATACAAACTGACACCATACTAACATGAAGATTGATTGTTCATCTATTTTCCCCATTATTTATTTTTTTATTTATTTTTTTTATCTTGGTACAATCGGTTCTCTTAAAGGGATAGTTCACTGAAAAATGAAAATGGTCTACTTTTACTCACCATCATGGTGTTCAAACCTGCTTTTTTTGTTTGTTTGTTTTTGGTTGGTTGGTTGGTTGCCAATGTTCTTCAAAATATCATCTTTTGTGTTCCAAGGAAGAATGAACATTATAAAGGTTTGGAAAACATGAGGGCGAGTAAATGATGACATGAATTAAATTTTGGGGTGAACTATCCATGCAGATACCTCTGAAATGCCAACTGTGTGAAAGAAGCTTATACAACGGCTTTGTTGATAATGTCATTACTACACTTACAAATTCATTGTATGGTTTTATTAATCTGATTTCCTTTATCTGTTTCAGGTAGAGGGATTCCTGATGTGGCAGCTTAATGCCAACTCGACATAAAACCAGAAAGCCCTTCTGTAAAACATGGTGAGAGGGGTTCTTGAAACCAATGAGCTTACCAGGCAACACTGCTGCCGCTATGGAGAACTCTAACTAATGTGAACTTAATGGGGATGATGATATTACACATAGCAATGATGGAACAGCCGCATTGACAAAGATCAACTGCACTCACTCTCAGTGCGCTGCTGCCAATCAGCATGCTGCGGATACTGTCACTCAAATTTGGCCGCGTCTACCGGTGTGGCAAGTTCCTCTTCATCATAGCTCTTTTTGTTATCCTGCTGATGAACACTCACAACCTTTTAGCCTCTTTCCAGAGGAACGAGCTCACCGACCGGCGATTCATCGGCCTCAACAAGTGTCCGGCCTGCTTCGGCACTAGCTGGTGCCGCAAGTTCATGAACAGCCAAGTGACCTTCGAGATGTGGGGTCGCCTGCGCTTTCTAGACTTTTTCAATGTAAAGAATGTTTATTTTGCTCAATATGGAGAACCCAGGGAAGGAACGCGCAGGGTCGTGCTCAAACGCCTGGGCTCCAACCAAGAGCTCGCAGAGATCGATCAGAAGATCTGCAAACGGGCCACTGGAAGACCTCGCTGTGATCTCATTCAGGGTATGTACAAAACTGAGTTCGCCCGACTTAACGGGGACGTAAGGCTGCTGACCCCAGAGGTGGTGGAGGGCTGGTCGGATCTGGTGCACTGCCCCTCGCAGAGGCTTCTTGACCGTGTGGTCAGGAGGTACGCGGAGACCAAGGACTCTGGTAGCTTCCTGCTGAAGAACCTTAAGGACACGGAACGAATGCAGCTGCTGATGACGTTGGCATTCAACCCTGAGCCTCTTGTGCTGCAGGTATCCACACACTAGCCGATAAAATATCTTCTTTAAATGCATTTTCAAGTTGCTGAACCTTTCTTTTGATGCTGAAGCACTGTGTCTGATGCCCGCTTGGAAGTTAAAGGGATTAACGGTGCATCTTTGCATATTTTAAAGTTCTGCACAAGGCTGTGTAAATAATAGATACTTTGTGTCTGTTGGTGGTCACTTAGAGATGTCTCTGCTTTGGGCAACAGTGTGCTTGTCCTGAAGAATTCCTTCAGACATAAATCATGGGCATTTCTTATTCCATTTGCAAAGTTTAAAAACACAGAGGTGGCATATTGTTCCGAAAGTTGTTTTGTCCAAAACATGTTTTTAGTATGATAAACATTTTCCACTTAAGGACGTGTAATATTGACGAAAAAATATATCTTTATATGTTCTGGGATTTCGTCAATAGTGATAGTTAGATGAAGTCTTGAGGGTTTTTGTACTGGTACCTTGGCTGGTTTAGACCTGTGGTGGACAGCTGGCTTTTGAATATTTTCATATTCTTCAAATTCTCTGTGGTGGTTAGTTCACAGCAGTGAGAGAAATGAACTTTTCCAATCAAGAACTTATATTTACGGTGGCCCAGTAGTGCACAACACAACAAAATGTAAACGGCACAACAAAATTGGCGCAACACAACAGAAACAAGCGGAGGGATTTAATGCATGGTCTAATGAAATACACATTTTGATATCTAATATATTTTTATGAACCCTTGGAAGTTTCTATGGGGCAGTACATCAGGCCATTTCACTGTCCCCTTTCTATAATGGAGTGTCTGTTTACACTGTGCAAATAGACTGCCTTGTTGACATATAGGTTACTTACACTAATGTCTGGTTGGGCCACACAAAATTAAAATTGACACCCGCCATGTAGCAGCTGTAGTGGCGTAGGGAGTAAGGCATATAGAAGTACCTTTTGATGCAATCGATCCGAGTTCAAATCTGCCTTTTACTGAACTCACTCTTCTCAATTTTTCTATCACATATCAGATCGCAAACGCATTTGCTTTCAATTAAGAAAATATTTGAAAAGTGGAAATAATGTGCATGACGAGCGTTTGATAATGAAGTATATCGGGGCTATGGCTAGGTGTAACGTTGGCTTTATTGTCCCAATAAGGTGGCATCCATTTAATAATTTTAATGCACTAAAAAATGCTGCATTAAAAATAACCATTTCTGGATTATTTGGCAACCCAGCGCTGGGTAAATATTGAACAAAACGCATGCTGGGTTATTTTGACCCAGCTTGTTGAGTTTTATACATTATAACCCTTTTGTTGTTTTACATTATTTTTTGACAGTGCTGGGTCAGTTAACCTGTTGAAGATTTTTTTCTTAATTTTAAATAATAAAAATGCACTCTACTTTAAAAATCCTACAATGTGATTTTCTGGATTTTTTTTCTCATTTTGTCTCTCATAGTTGAGGTATACCTATGATGAAAATTACAGGCCTCTCTCATATTTTTAAGTGGGAGAACTTGCACAATTGGTGGCTGACTAAATACTTTTTTCCCCACTTAACATTTAAATAAAAAAAGGTAACCTTATTTGGTTAACAAATAGAATTTAGGCTACTCTGCAAAATATCTGAATAACAAAAAAGCTTAAGAAAAGTTAGGCTAAACATTACATGTATCAAGCTGTAAGCATTAAACTTTTCAAAGAAATGAGTGCCATACACACTGACATACTGTACATGTATTGGCAGTCACTAATACTAATTTTGCCTACTCCTAACAAAAAAATAACATGACTTTGTAGTATCATTCATGCACATACACTACCGCTCAAAAGTTTGGGATCAGTAAGACTTATGTTTTTTAAAGAAGTCTCTTATGCTCATCAAGGCTGCATTTATTTGATCAAAAATACAGAAAAAACGGTAATCTTGCAAAATGTTATTACAATATAAAAAAAAGGTTTCTATTTGAATATACTTTAAAATACAATTTATTTCTGCGATGCAAAGCTGAATTCCCATCAGCCATTATTCCAGTGTAAAGTGTGAACTTTTTCTGAGGTAAATTCTGTCTTATTCCTCTCAATGCGTCTTTTTTCTGAGGTAAATTCTGTCTTATTCCTCTCAGCGCATCTTCTTCCAGAAACGAAAAGTAACCGAGATGAACTTGAGGAAAAGTCTTGTTGCTTTGTTTGCTGTGATGTGGGCGTTTACATGCCGCGTGTCTCATGTGGACTATTGTAATACCAAAAGCGAAAGCAGCTCGTGGGCGTGATCTAATTAGAGATAATGAAGTCAGACGGGAAAGACTGGACATTGCGTTGGTTTCATATGGATTACTTTGTCACAGAATATTTGTTTTCAATAAGACTTGCTTCGTTTAAAATTAGACCTGTCAAGCTTTCTATAGATATATCTCTCATGTCTTTGTGTGGCGTATTCGCTGAGTTTGTTCTTTTTAGTGATGTGTTTCTAAATGAAGATCACAGAGACAAAGGCGGCAGACAGTGCACCCTGTTTGCTTTCTTTATTTTACAAAAGCACACCGTTTTGTTGTTATTATGTGTGTATACAAATAAAAAACATTTACAGATTCGATTGATGTATTGCTCTTATCTGTACGATCAAAACTGACGGAGTAATTTATGTTCCTTTAGGGGCTTTGCAACAAAACGCGCCGGCTCGTTTATCGACCCCAGAGGGTTAAAAAAAATCGAGTCCTGAATGAATGTCTGTAAAAATCCTGATTGGAGCATCACTATAAATAAATCTATGTGATAAAAAGAGGTCATCAAAAAGATTGGTATCGGTGATCATATCGGCAGCTACTGCTTCCTGTGATCGGTGATCGGCTCCAAAAATCCTGATTGGAGCACCCTTATTAGAATTTTTTGTTGACAAAAGCAAACATTTTTAAAATTTAATTGTTAACTTTAGAGCCCGACCGATATATCGTTTTGCCGATATTATCGGCCGATATGAGCCTGTCGCCGATATATCGGTATCGGCGAATTTGCCGCCGATATTAATTTTTTTTTACAGAACATATAACGCAGATAAAATGCTTGAAATGGTGTAATTACTTAGTTTGTCCAGCAGAGACTCCATTGTTTGATACTGGCGACCTGGATGAAATGCTTTAAACCTTAAAGGGGTCATATGATGCTTTTTTAAAGATCATTATTTTGTGTATTTGGTGTAACAGAATATGTTGACATGTTTTAATGTTCAAAAAACACATTATTTTTCAAATACTGTACATTATTGTAGGTCCTCTATGCCCCGCCTCTCTCAAATGCTTAGTTTTCTACAAAGTCCCTCCTTCCGACAAGCGCAGTCTGCTCTGATTGGCCAGCTGACCCAGTGCATTGTGATTGGCCAAACACCACAAGCACTCATCAGAAATGTACCGCCCCCTTACCATAATCGCGAGCTTCATCTTTCAAAATAAATGTAAAGACAGAGCCCGAAAGGGGAACAGAGTCGTGTGACAGACACAGTGATGAAGCTGGTATGTGAGCAGTACACAAGCCACGGTTAAGCCACTCTCTCTCTCGCTCACACACACACACCTCTCTCTCACTCGCGCGCGCACGCACACACACACACACACACCGCTCTCTCTCTCCCGCGTGCACACGCACACGCACATGCACACACACACACACACACACACATACATACATACATACATACATACATACACACACACACACGATGCGCAAAAGTCCGCATTTGAACAGTCAATAGCAAATACTTAAACTAATAACAAAACAGTAGCTGATTCTGAATTACCTCCTCTCCTAAGTTCACGAAACGGTCGTCCATAATATGCATTGCTGTTCTGTTGTACGTAATCTTAAAGATTCCTATATGCATCTACTTTCGGAAGGCCAAGTAAAGTGCTTTTGCTTTCGCCTAGAAACACACAGCGTCTCCCTGACATGCTGCTTCAACACTAACTGCGTTTACTGAAACCACGCCTTCTTTCTTTGCGTGCACATTTGGGCGGCATTATGCAAATATTTCCACACAGTGAGGTAGATATGTGGGGGCGTGTTAGAATGAGCTGTTTTAGGGAGGCGTGGCAGAGTCTTAACTTTGATAAAGAATATCTCTTTGGTTTTGAGACTTTAGTCTTTGCAACTTCAGGGATCGTATCTATGCACAATCAGCTTGTACCACTCCAAAGAGAAAGGAAAACTGAGATCCGCCGGTGCGTTCGCGAGATAGTGACACCAGCCAACACTTTCACTTCAGTTTCTTGTTCAGGCAGCAGCATTCAAGCGTGGTCTTATTCGACCGTAAGTGCCCTGCGAAGTGGACTTCACATGATATTCCGCCATGATTCCAGTTCCAAGGGAACGTACACGTTACATTCAAAGGGCATTAAAGTGCGCGAGACGTGAATTTATATTTAGGGATGACCGAACCGAATAAGCGAAAAGACCGAATAAATTGTACCGAACAATGATATGACGGGAGAGGCACGCACTCTTTATTAAGGATGATTTATACTTCTGCGTCGGACCTACGCCGTAGCTTACGCATAGACGCACACCCATACGCCGTAGCCTGACGTGCACCTCTCCAAAAATCGAACAGCGCGTCAGTTCTACGCAGACCGCAAGCGCTGTGATTGGTCTGCAAGAACCTCTCCCTCCATATGTACTTGAGTTTTGTGTGTGTTTATGTACACTTTAATATATTTTAATGTTACACCTTCTTATATAAAATAAAACAACGCAAAGAACACGTGTCTTATCATTTATTATACTACATGGCATTATACATCAGTAGTTGTCCGCAACAAACAATGTCGCAGAAGTATAAATGAAAACTGACGCATAGCCTACAGCGTAAAGGCTACGGCGTAGGTCCGACACAGAAGTATAAATCAGCCTTTATGCAGCACACACGTCAGCAGTGTGGAAGCATTTAAACTGTCGTAGAAAGACGACAGAATAAAACATGTAGAATAAAAGTTGATGAAAAGCAAAAACTCTTATCAAC